GACAAGGAGACATCTCTTTAAATAGCAGTTAATTCAGAATTGAAGACCAACTGTTGTTTATCTCTATCCATTCTTAGTTCAGCCTCTTGAATAGAGACAGAACAAAGATATTTTTACCACCAGAATGCCACAAGTGACTTGTGACATTATCTTCTACAAGTTACACTCCCTAGGAATGCAGAAATTTACTTAAAACAATCTACAGAAAAGATATCTTACACAGCAATTCCTTACAAGACTTCACTCACTATTTTCAGCAGAAGCATGAATTTACATGACAGTGAATTATCAAAAACTACTTTTACTGAGCACTTAGTTTGCTCAAACATTCATCTAACTCTAAGGTGAATACTTCTTTATCAAATCTAACAAAGGTAAAGACAATGTGATCTGCATCACTGACAAGTCAGCAACTACACAAGAAGGAAGACAAGGGCAAGCCAAGTCAGGATGAGATCACATTTGGGATACAGTGGTCAGTGTTTCACATAGGCCTTACAATTCAATGTCAATGATTATCAAATTCTTGTTGAATTCCATGTTTCTCACCAAAACAAAACAATTTGGCTAAAGGCACATTTCTTTGAGAAACAATTTTACAATATTAAATGATATATAGATATCCCTCACTGTGCCAGAGAGAAAGCTACAACATTTATTTCAATACAATCAGATTTTTAAAAAAAAAATGAGAGGTGAAGTACAAAGTAAGAAAGCCCATTTGAGATAACAGCTTATGCACAGGTCTGCTGCTCTTAACACAGCAAGGGATGTGACTGTCTCAGCTCTCTGCATTAGTGAAGACCAGATCATTATGATCAGCTAACACAGAGTCCTGACTGTATCAATGACACTAAGGCTGAATGTTCCCTCTTTAAAATGAGAAGCACAGGCTCCAAACTGAGTGAAGAATATTCACAGCTTTCCCTTCAAGTCATTGTGTTACCTTACAGGAAAAGGCAGTGTTTAAAAGAAATCAGGGCTATAATGAAGACAACAGTATAAGAAAAACCACTGTAGTATCATGAAAACTGATGTGAATATGGCATTTAAGTGCTTGCATTAATACCTTTGAAACACCTTTTGAAGGCAACTAGGATCTCTTATTTTCACAGACTAGAAAAATCTCCATATATAAGGCTATCTGAACACTTTCTGAATAAAATCCAAAATATCAGAAATCCTGATATCCTTTATGTCTAAGAGTCTGAAATACCTACCAGAACAATTGAAGATGAACTACATATATTTACAATGTTACAGATAGGACATGGGTTGAATCTCTTTAATTTGAATCTGCAGCAAAAGTTACTTCAGAGGATTATGAAACAGAAATAAATTTTCTATACTGATATATAATTAATATCTAATAAATGGTTAATCAACCAATATTACAATAGTAATAGCAATATTACCATAGCAATATTGCAGCCATGACAGTCTAATGTTACAAGACAAAGCTGGTAGATTACCTCTGTCACAAACCCTAAGAAGTCAGACACACATGAAAGCATGTCCTTTTCTTCTACCTCATGGAGCTCCACTCCTGCTGTACGCTTACATTAGTAAATTATTTTCAGCTATCTGCTCTATGTGCACTTATATAAGAAGTGTTCCATGCTCCTCTATAGGTTATTGAAGGCTTTTAACTGGCAATCAACTGGAAAAAAATTGTGCTTGCTATTCTACACAATTCAATTATCTTAAAATACTCATTCCAACATTTGGATGAGAAGACAGCAGTTTACATGCATATCAATATTTGAGTAAAGGCATTGTACGTTAACAGTTCACTGAACAGAAAAAATCCCCCAAACACTAAAACCATTTGAAACTGAAAATCACCAGGAAGTTATATCCTTAACAAGACACTCTTTGCAGAAACTTTAACAATAACAATTTGAAAAAAAAAAACAAAACAANAAAAAAAAAAAAAAAAACAAAACCAACAAAAGTCTCAAGACAAAAACAGACTTAAGACTGTGAATAATACAACACAGTGATAACAATCCCAGTGACTAAAATCTAAATTTTACTAAATCTAATGAAGTTTTAAACTGCTTCTGTGCAACATCAGAAGTACTGTAAGTCAAATGTGGCTACTACTTTCATCTGTAACAGCAGATTGCAATTTGTAGCTTTTAGGGAAACAGGAGAAAAAAAATCCAAAACCAAATCCCACCCTTAGATTAAAAACTGCCAGATGACAACAACTGAATACCAACTAAAACTAAACTATCGCAGACACTCAAACATTATCTTAAAAAATATTTAAAAAAAAAATTAAAACCACAAACAAAAAAATCTCACCACAACAACAAAAAACCCCAGAAAAATTAAACCACCTCATACATGGTGTCTTTCAAAGACTGCTCCTGCAAAGGCCCTGATTAATGCTGCTATCTGCCCAAATCTCCAATTCCTCAACAACACAAAAACTAATGAAAATGGAGAAATGCCTTCCTAATGTTACTTTGCGGAAAACTAAGTGTTGCAACTGACACCTGATGCTGCCAGAGATGTCAAGGGATCACAAAGAACAAGAGTCATGACCCAGGATAGATGGTAAGATGGTAACACAGCATCATGTAGCACTTCAAAGCTGTGAACAGCCTTGCTGCTTGAGCATAGGGTGCTGTATTTAAAAGATTATCATAAAGGACCCGATTATCAAAAGACAAGACTATTAGCAGCAACTGGAAGCATCACAAAGGAGTAGCTTGGATTTCACTGTTTCTGTAGCTAACAAGGCCGCAAATGCTAAAGCTACATATTTGGGATTTGTGGAACAACAAATTCCTACCTTACTCAACTCTAACTCTCTAGCAGTTTTTCTAGTTTTAAGACTGTCTAGTTTATTTCCCAGGACACCATTCAGGGACAGCCACTGCAGCACAACAACTTCACTGGACAGTTCCAGGTATAAACAACTTTTCTCTATACCACTATATCCTGTCACTGGTAATTATTGCTACACCTTCCCATTCCGCTAGATGCTCTGAGAAGAACAAAGCACAATATACAGATGTTTCCAAGTGGACCGAATAAACTAATTTACATAAAGGGTTCCCACATTTTACATCTCAAGTTGGAGACATAACTTCATGATCTGCTCTAACTTCATCAAGCTTAATATTCTAATTCTGGATGCCTGCCTCAAGCAGAATAAGATACCATTTTAACCTGGAGCAGTTGAGAGATAAGGAAAAAAAGTGTTTTGTGTCTAACACTTCTTAAAAAAGTGAAGACTCCTTTTTTTCTGAATCACTCCAGCTGCCCTCATATGTTGAAGACACTCTATTTTATTTTTAAAATATATGTTTTATTGCTTAGGAACAAGCCCTTATCTACAAACAAATCCATTTAATCATGCCCTTAATATATGGTCTGAATGACAGAAAAGCCAAGAAAGTCACTGACAGCTAATGAGGAGACTGAATATATGAAAAAATGATTTTTTTCAGAAAACCCATCCTCTACCACCTGAGGTATGAGTAGACTGTGGGCACATCATTCCCATAAAGAAACTGAACATCCCCTAAGTGATCTAAACTACTCATTTTAAATAGCACTCCTTCAGGCAACCTTCCTGTCATGTGAACAACATGGAGATGGATAGCATACAATCTGAATGAAAGGTTCCAGCAAAGGGGGAGTAGGTCCAGGACAGACAAAAATATTTAAAACAAGGGAGGAAAGAGCCAAAGAACAGCCAAGCAAAGAAATTCAGAACTTGGCTCATCTCTACGGCCTTAGTGTTTCCCAAAGCTGAGTCCAGTCTGGAGTCTCAGTGTATTCCAAGTGCATTTGCTCCTCTCACAACGATGAACTCACTGGCAAAATGTCCATCTTCTCCAGTGCTACTCCACTTCCTACTGCCATTGTCATTACTATACTGGTTTAAAAGGCAAAGGTTCAACCCAGCAGATTACCCACATGGGGAGCAGTAAGAACTGATACCACGCTGTTATGCTTGCACTAGCTTTAACAACATGTAGAGGATTAATGCTGCACAGAAATTAGGAAACAATACAATTAAGACAAGTACTTTGTGCACCTGTGTTAAATGGCCTGTACTTAACATCTCACATTCTCTACTCTTGAGATGGGCACCCTCTAAAAAGAAGGTGGGAAGAACAAGGGAAGGACTGCTCTACCCTTAATGTCCTACTGGATTAGAGACCTAAAGAAACTGAAACACAAACGAAGCATGAGACTGCAAAAACGCAAAACAAAACCAGAGAATAAGGACATCAAAAGATACCCTTGCTACTGAGCTCCTGTATGACAGCAGATCAGCCCTTTCCTCCACCTTCACAGCTGTTTTTTGTATGCTATTTATTTTACAGCTACCTATTCTGATAATCTGCAATCCAATTTCTCTACATACTCAACACACCCGGCAGCAATTTGGACATGTGCTTTAAACACATTAATTGCTTTACACTATAAAACGCAAATGGAGGCAGGACAGCATTTTTGTATTATTTCTGCCAGGTGAAGGAAATTCATTAATAATTGGATACTATATTGCCGTAGATACTATGGCAATAGCCAGCAAAGGCAGACTCCAGAGCAACTTATATCTGCTCTTTGGGAAAGGTTTTGGTAAAAAAAGTTTAAATGAAACTGAAGCTGTTCAGAAATCAGTAAGTAAAAAGCTAAATATTAGGCAGCACTTAATTAAATTAATACAGTACAGCTTAATTGCTACAAAATGAAGAATTATGTAAACTTATGCATTCACATAGTTAAAATATATAGCTACAATAACTGCTTAAACTGACCCACGAATACTGCAATTCTCATCTCAAGCATAAAAAAGACCAATCTGAACAGCAAACCATGGGATGAGGCTGTAAATAGTCCAAGAAATGCAATTACATCCTTTCAGAAGCTAATAATGTCTATGCAATTTCCAAGAAAAAGGCTGTTACAATCGGGTATTTGCCCGACTACCAAACAAGACAGGATAAAAGCAAACAAACACAAATATTTACCTTATTGCAGTAAAGCATCCAAAGCTCATACAGCCTCTCTCGGGATGCCATTCCTCCCCTTCCTCTTCCCGTCGATCACCGCTACTTTTCTCTTCAAGATCCTACCATACTCAGTTCCCAGGCGCTCTTTCCACAGTTCTGCTTTATTATTAGTTATATCATGACCCGAGAAGAAGCCAAGTAACAGGGTCTCAGTCTCTCCTTCTCGAGCAGACAACGAAGTGCAACACAAGCAACTGCAAACAAGTGTCAAGCATGTCCGTCGTTCGCCAGCGCCGCTTCGGTTTTAATCTCTGAAAGTGAAAACATACCCTTCAGGCCTTTGGTGGAGAGAGGAAACAAATCCGCACTTAAAGCCCACGGACAGCCTGGGGACTGGGGCGGCGGCAGGTCGCAGCGCTTTGCTCTCTGACACTGCTCCCGCTGACGGAGGTCAGCCGATGAGTGTTCGTGGCGCCTTCTCGCTTTGCAGCGGGGGAAGCCGCAGGGCTGCGAGCGGGGCCGCCGGAGCCCCGGGTACCGCCGCTCCCGGCGCGGCAGTGACCGCCGCTGCCACCGCCCTTCGGCCCCGGGCTCCGCGGCCGCTCCGGACCCCGCCGGGCCCCGCAGGCCGGCGGCTGCCGGGAGAGCCGGGGGCGGGGGAGCGGCCCCGCGCCGCGCCGCCGCCCGCTCCCGGCCGGGACCGGCCGCCCCGCGCCGCCACCTACCGCGTCCCGGCCTCCCGCAGCTCCCGCCGCGCCCCCGCGGCCTCTCCCGCAGCCTGCCCGGGCCGCGGCGAGTGGCGGCCGGGCGGGCGGGGCCGAGCCTCGCCACATCGCCCGCCCCGCCCGCGCTCCGCACACGCCCCCGGCCGCCGCCGAGGGCGGGGAAGCCGCGGACGCCATCTTGGCAGCGGGCAGGGGCAGTGCCCGCCCGGGGCAGCCGGGCGGAGGCAGCGGCGGAGCCGCGGCGAGGAGCGGCGAGGAGCGGCGAGGAGCCGACCCGGAGCCTGCGGCGCCTCACCCGCAGGGCCGGCGGTCCTGCCCCGCCTGCGCCCCTCGGCCGCGCCGGGAGCGTGCCCGTAAAGAATCAGCATCCCCATCCTGAGGAGCTCAGGAGACCTCCGCACTGCTTTGCTCCATAAGTAACAGAGGTTACCTAGCACATACACACGTTTTACGTATGCTCCAGATAGCCCGCGGAGCATGGATATACCATACATCCAGCCTGCCGCCCGTGTAAGGCAGCCCCCCCTACCTTGTATGAGTTTGCGTAGGGCTACGTATTTCCATGATGACCCTTGTATGCGGAGTTTGCATAGGACTAACGAACCAAAGTTATAATTCATCAAAAAAAATTAGATTTCCAAAGGAGAAATGCAAAAAGGGATCCCTCAGCTTGCGCGTGGCCCTGCCCGAGTACACCGTCCTGTGCTGATACAGCCGAGACACCACACTCCAGTGAAGGATTTTCCTCCTGCTCCTGCAATAACAGCATCTTCTCGGCATCACTCACGGGCACTCCCTGGGGAATGGGCTTCCCTCGTGTCCTGCTCCCCTGGAAAGTGAGGCTGGAAGTTGTGTCAGACTCCAAAGCAGGGAGGAGGCAGTTTAAGGAGACATGGGGCATCTCTCTAGTTTGCTGGCAGAATCACACTCCTGCAACTTTTGGCCACAGCCCTGGTCCGTCTGCCACTGGATCATCTCCTCACTTGTGTTCATACAGCTTCATGCAATAAAGCATTGCCATTCATTACACAGTTGATTACTTTCAGGGGATTTTCATACCTTTGCAATGATTTAATACAAGGTTTGGAAATCCTTTCTAAAGGAATTGACTGTGCAGTATCATTGTAGTGTCTGCTACATTAATTTTTCTAGGGATGGATAAGTATCACCAAGAGCCCAAAGACAGATTGAGATATGTTCCTGCAACAGGCCTTTGCATATTTGTCTTGTTTTTAGAATATCAGTGAAGTTTCCCTGGAGAATTTAAGAGCTAATTTGTGCTTAATGTTGTTTCATGTATATCATCACTGTGGGAGTGGTAGAAGTATCTTTTACTGCAATATCTAAACATAGTACCTAGCATGGATGGAGGGACGCTGACAAAAATGAGACTGTAAAATTATTTTTAGTTGTGTGGTACATGTGCTCTGATACTTGATGCTAGCCACAATATTCTGCTACCTTGAGGATGTAACATAATTTTTTCCATCAAGAAAAAAAATAGGAGCTTAAAGTCTAGCTCTGTCCCCAGGGCAGGATCTGCTGAGCTTAAACAACCCCGGTCCCCCTTCGGTGAAATGTGCCAAGGAAAAAAAGAGAGCCTGCCTCCTCCCTGAAAGACTTACCTCAATGCTTGAGTTACTGCTGGGAGCTCCTCCCTAACAGCCAGCCTGCATCACCTTTCTAGCAAATGTAAGCCACTGCTATTAGGCCCTTCTGCAGTAATTCAATAAAAAGAAGCTCTTTCTGGCAGGTCTTTTGAGTTACAAACTCTGATCACATTTGTTTGCAGCCTTTTCTAGACTAAACAACAGTTTATTTCAAATTTCTCTTACAACTTGCTGCCTTTGAGGAAGTCAGGCCTTAGTGAAGCCATGTAAAAATCCCAATCCTCCCTCAGATATTGCTCTGCTTTTTTGAATTACTGACTCCTGTAAGAGCAGCTGCTCCTACACACACCAGTCCTGCAACAGCCTTCAATGAAGGAATAAAAAACCATCCTCTGACAGAAATGGGAGACTTCTCCCTGGCTAAGTGCTGCCACCCCCGTAATTCGGATGCTCCCAGACTACAAAGCAGCCGTCTTCCACTCTGCTGGAGTTGTAGCAATGTAGTTATTTTAGTGGGCCTAGGCAATCAGTGCTGCTTGTGTAGGCAGTTCTTGCCTTATATAGGTGCTCTAGCAGGAAAGTAAAGCATTTGTGATTTGCAACAGAACAGTCTGTTCCTGTGTCATTCAGGGTGAGTGGTCTCCTGGTCTGACCTTCTAGAGGTTTTCCTAAGCCCCGTAAGGTTGTTGAGGTGGCTTTGGGATGTCTGCATCACTGGGTGTATGTCAAGTATAGTATCTCCCTGTACAGACAGACATTTAGTATTTTCTATTTTTTTCTTACATAGATATATGGGCAATAGTGGGAGAAGTCAGTGCAAAAAGGTGGGTTACAGGTTTGTCTCTGCAGGTGGAGTATAATTCTAGGTGAATTTATATTTCAGTGTACTTACCTACACAAATATTCAGCAAAGGATATGGAAATCAAAGAATGGAGGAAGGTGTAAAGAGAAGCTTTGCCAGCTATGGATGGGTACTTTAAAATGTGCTTATGGATTGCTTCAGCTGTGAGATAATTGTTAAACTTTTAATTGCCTGCTCTTCCATAATTATATATCAATTATTTCATGGACCTTAAACAGTCAGGTAGGCAGTGCTCTTTTGTATTTCATTGTCCCTTAGCTGCTGTCTTGTGGTAACTATTTACAACAGTGGTTATTTCTCATACTTTATTTATTACTTGTGGGTTTTAATGTCTCTCATCAGGAGCTGTAAATTAGTAACTCAGTCATTTTACTGTGGAGTGAACGGGTTTGTCAGCCAGTCCGGGTAACAGAATGGGTAGAAAGAAGGGTGTGGATAAGGAGATGGCATTAATTTTGTGTTGAGGAAAGACTTAACAAAGAAATAGACTACACTGGATTGTAGCTTTGAGTCCAGGAACCTGTGAAGTGGCAGGAAAAGCCTTATAATATTGCTTTTGTGAAATCATGCTTATATTCTGTGGATGCAAATGAAACAGGCAAAACTCTGTATTTGACTTTTAGATATTCTCAGGCCTGTTGTTTGACCCTAAGGCTTCTACTGAAACCAAGCCCCAGACCAACAGAAATAATGCTGAGATGAATGTATGGCAAAGCTTTTAGCTGAGCTTGTTCTTGATGTCTTAAAGCTAATACTTTGTTTACCAACAATAAAGACTTGAAATAGAAATGAACATGGAAATTAGCTTAGAAAGGAACCTGCCCCTCAATAATTGCACCTTTTGTTTATTTTTTTTTACAAACAGGCTCTTGCATAGAAGCACGGAGTAATCTTTACAGTGTAAATAAACAAATGGCCTTGTGATTGCATGTAGAATTTCCGTTATCAAAATACCTTTTGGTGAATGTAAAGAAATAAGACTTTTTGGATGCTAGTTTCTGGACACTGAAGCCAAAGTAACTTGCACAGGGATGTGGTGTGGCTATTGGAAGAGGCAAGCTAATCCTTGTAAGATTCCAAGGTCTCTGTGATGACATTTTGCTGAGGGTGATTTGAATTTCTCTGGCTATGATTGCCAGATGAGTTTGCAATTATTCTTTTAGTTAAGACAGCAAACCTAATGTTCCACTTTCCTTCTGTTATTATATTGACTTTGTACCGCAGGTAATTCAGAGCTTGTTAGTTATTGATAAAATTTGAAAATGTGAAGGGATTAAATGTCCCTTGACATTTAAACAGGTATCTAGGGATTTTAGTTACTTTCTTTCATAGTGTTGGAGACTGGCCACAGCTAAAGCTGGGAGGTGATGGTCTGGCTAATAGCATTAAGTCCCCCTGCCTGCCCTGCTTTCAGATATGCGGGGTTAAGCCATTCACCACAGACTTAAATTCAGAAAGGAATTTACCCCAGGGTAGCCTGGGACCCTGGTGAGTATTTTTGTCCTTGCCTGTCCTTTCGGATTGTTTCCACGGGGGCCTTCAGTATAATGACTCTACTGTTGTCAAAGGCTCAGGCACTACTTAATCGCTTCTGTTCCTTTTCAGTAGGATGGGCTCCCTTAAGTTTACAGCTGTGCTAGGAATGTTCTTGTAGGGGTACCTCTTAGAGACCCTTTCAGACTAAATAGATAGTAGGTGTTTATATGCTTTGATCTGCCTAGGTTCTTAAGCAAACAGCGAAAATTCAAGATGAGAGTTGTCTTAGGACTGCCCCGCTCCTCTGCTGTCATTTAGATTAGCTATGCAAGAGCTAACATGTAGATTTGTGCTACAGCTGTCTTTCTTTTGCAGATGCTTGAAGGCACCAGTTGTTACTGCACAAAGTTGCATCATAAAATTGTTCTCCTTCCTTCACCAAACTGCCTCCTTATTCAAAGTAAGCCATCAAGCCATCCTTTTCTGTACAGTCTCAGTGCCAGGGATCAGTGAAGTTACCATATTTGCACTTCATTCTGGTTTAGTTAAGAGGGTATTCAATGAATTATTTCACTGTGTTGCAGCGCTCAGCAGTATGGATCTGCAGTATGAGTCCTGAAAGCAATCAGTGTGTCAG